TATAACTTCCAGTGCTTGCTGTGTGGTTGAAATTTCATTTGCAACACAACAAAGCCTGCTTATATTTCTACAGGGAAAAAATACCATGGCAGCCTGAAGTGCAATTGGGATTTAACCTCACATAAGACCCAAGAGTCCCTATGGAGGGCATTCTCCATGTGTTTCAAACTTGGTGCATCATCCACCAAGCATGTTCCCTCCGGAAAAGCAGGAGACCGCCCAAGGTTTGGATAAGTTCAGGGAAGCATCTGAACTTTTTGGGAGCTGTCCCATCAAAACTGGAGTTGTCTGGGTTTTGACCGCTGGGGCCAATATTCTTTTCTGTCTGGACTTTTAAAAAAGATCAGAACATTGGGTTAGTATTCCCAGTTCTCTGTGTCATTAGAAGCTCTTAAGCACGAAGATTCCACTAATTTCAACCAGAATTTTGTGGGTAAAAGACATGAGTAATGTGAGAAAATGAATGAGGACATTGGCACTCACTGGGGGAAGTTAGGAACTTCAAGGAGAAAAATAAAAGCTGTCTTCATCAGCCAGCCTAAGTTGGAGGGGTTTTTAGGATATGTGATTGTTCCCAGCACCCTGTTTTGAATCTCTCTTACATTTCATAAAATCAGAAAGTTTGGGTTTGAATTCTGTTCGAATATTAACAGATGGGGGGGTGTAAGAAGACTTCTTACAGCCTTCCAAGCCTCAGTTTCCTCATTGGTAAAAGGAAATATTAATAAGTATTCTATAGGGCTGTTGATTCGTTCGTTTATTCATTCATTCAGTTGGTCTGGCACATAGCGAGCACTCAGTAAATAGTAGCTCCCAGAAAGTTTCTATGGAATCTTTGTAATTCCATGTACCTGGATTTCAAGGAAAATTTCACATTTGTGTCTCAACTTTTTTTATTTTGCTTAGGAATACATTTTCACCTTTATAAAAAAATGCATTTGACCCTTTAGAGCCCTCAGAGAAATTTTTTAAATAGAAAAATGTGTGTCCTTCTAAAATCAAACCAGTGCTGGGGCACTTGGGTGGCTCAGTCAGTTGAGCGTTAGACTTTGGCTCAGGTCTTGATCTTGCAGTTCATAAGTTCGAACCCCAGATTGGTCTCTGTGATGACAGCTCAGAGCCTGGAGCCTGCTTCACATTCTGTGTCTCCTCTCTCTGCCCCTCCCCTGCTCACACTCTGTCTCTGTCTCTGTCTCTCTCTCTCTCTCAAAAATAAATAAACATTAAAAAAATTTTAAATCAAACCAGTGTTATTGAACCTCACTAAAATGTTAGTTAGGCTCAGTCTGTATGTTTCTCAATACACTTTAATTACCACTCATACAACTTAGCTACATCCAAATGTGTCTACAGGGTCAAGCCATCAAATGACTTGACATTCAGGAAAGAAGCACGCTCAGTGACGAAGAGCACAGGCCCCAGCTCCATGAGGGTCCCCAGTGCTGCTACATATACTGCACACCATGAGGGTGAGCAGAGTGTATGCAACTGTTTGCCTTCATAGAGTTTATGACTTTGCATGGCTTTTAATACTTCCCTCAAGTAGTATCATTCGCCTCTCAAACTTTAATAATTCTTTTTTGAGTAGTGTCTTTCTGTCCTCCCCGCCCCCCCCCCCATCATTTTGATTTCTAGTCTATTGTCTTTCAGAGTCTGGAGTACGCTCCTGATTTATCCATGACTGAATCTTGCACTACCCTGAAGAAAACTGTGATTTGAGTAAATACCGCACATTGCTTTCATTAATATGTCACATTAAATTTAAAATCTCAAGTGCAAATCAAAAGTTGGACATCTTAACATTGTTCATACTTCAGGAAAGTCTGCGAGCTGGGAATAATTTTTTCTCATGGGCCAAACACACCACACACACACACGCACACACACACACACACACACACACACACACACACACACACGGCAGATTCTTATGGTTCCCAACAGTTTTGTTTTGCTTTGTTTTGTTTAACCTCCTCACCATCAAGCATATAGCTCACCCCATGAATGAGCAGCATTTTCTCCTCAAGGGCAGTGATTCTGTGGGTAGGGCCACATGTAATTTGAAAAAGTATATTCTCCCACCCCATGGTATTGAGAATCATGTCTCCAATTGCATCAAGAGAATAGGATTCCTTCTGCCTACTCTGATGGCTTTATTGAGAAAAGCTTGGCCAGAATTGTCATGCTTTGAAGTCAGCAAAATCAGCACCTTAATCTGTTTTGGAGATAAAGGGTCCCATTGGAATTCTTTCTTGAGAGCTTGCCTGAATAGTTACCCTCGACATCCCTGTTCCACTCACAGCCTTTCTGCTGTCATCATGCACTCACCATAGTGACCTGTTGCTAGGTCAGTGATGTCCCCTGATGGTACCAGGAAACCTTCCCAGCCCCTCCTTCTTGTAGAGAAACAAAGAGAAGGATCACTAGACAAAAGCTTGAGATTTCCTTATGAAAACATAATGATTCTCTGAGAGATTTTATAGCAGGCCCAGAATAAAAACAAACAAACAAAATAAAAGAAAGCAAACAGAAAATGTTTTCCTCATATTCATTCCATGAAGAGTTCAAATTTCTCAACAGCAAAAAATAAGTCAGGAAGGCTTATAAGGGAAACAGAACAAAGAAAGCTCTTGGGGAACAATTCTGAGAATGGCCCACTTCCTGGCCTCATGTGAACTGTCACCTAGAAGAAGGCACAAAGTGAGGACATCATTCATGGCCTGCCTCCTATCCTTCTCATTTTCTCCATGAGAAGAACAAAACTGACATAAAGCAAAAAGAGATGGGTACCACTCACCACGTCAGGAAAGAGAATCGAAGAGCAAGAGAAAAGGAAGAGAGGGAGTGACCCGTCACATCCAGGGGCCTAAACAGAAACTCATTTTCCAGGAGAGGAAGACTTTGTCCAGCCCCTCATGTGGGATCTGGGACCTCCAAGCTGCTGAGTTTGGGGCTGGCAGCAGCTTCTCAGAATCTGCCTTTTGAGAGTAAGTGATGCTTTCCTTCCAATAATTTGACTAAGCTAATTATGCCTTTGCAGTTGTTCCTACTTAGAGGGAAAGGGCAGCATTTTATCAAGAAGATGGTTTTTGGCTGCTTGTGTCAACCTGCTCTCCTTTTTTTTGAGAACTGCCAGTTTCCAGAAGTCATTTCCTCCCGGCCTGGAGTTGCAGGTACAATAGCACACAAAAAAGAAGAAACGAATCATCATCATCATCATCATCATCATCATCATCATACTACATAATAATAACCGTGGCCAATTCTATGACCAAATATTGAATTTATTTTTTAGCCTTCATAGATATTAATAGTTGCCACTGACACTAACTGACCTGGTTTCTCATTACAACAAAATTCGATTTTTCTGGAATGGATTTGGGACTCTCCCACAGAATGGTGGGAAAAGACAGGCAGAGTAAGAACATAGTTGGACAGGGAAATTTGAGTAGGTTTCTTAGCAACCTGTTAGATTCACATTTGAGTAAAGAATCCGACTAATTTGGAAATACTGCTTATCAGAAACATGACTACTGTTCAGTGGAAACGTGTGTGCCTAAAGGAGAGTTAAGCTGCTGTGGGTGACTAAGTTCACAGGCATTGTCTCCTATGGCAGCATTCTGCAGATTGAAAACAGGTGGATGGCCAGTAATTTGCCTTTTGTGAAAATAACATTCTGTTAAATGTGATATTAATATATCATATTTCTCCAAGAGCAGGCCATGCCTTGCAGGCTTCATCTAACGAATTCTCCCAACATCCCAGGAGAGCGGAACATGAATGGGAAACTGATTTGTTCATATGTGGCCAGTAAAGTTCATGATTTCCTAACAGGAAAATGTAAATTCCCCCCAAAAATAACAACAACAACAAAACCAACTATACTGCCAAGGTAGGGATTCTGGCGAGATGTTCGAAGGGGGTGAGGTAGTAAACAATGATGTGAAATTCAACTTTGAAGAAAAGTTTGGGGAGAGCTAACAGAAAGATAGAAGGTGGGGTGGGTGAGGAAGAAATCTTGGGTGCTTTGGGAGGGAGAGAGGTTGAGAGAGAAAGAGAATGGGAAACTGACTCTGTGTGACAATTCTTACACAATTAGGTTATTATTTATACAGAAAATTATGATCCCTTGAGATTTGGTTGAAGAGTCATCTTCCGTCCTGTTTTTAATGGAAACATCTTACTGTTTATTAATAACAATAGCTACCATGTAGTGGGTGCCTACAAAGTGTGGTCGGGCTGATTGCACAGAATCCCTCCAACAACTGGATGACATCTGCATTCCTGTTATTCTCATCTAACACAAGAACCTGCTGTTGAATGACTTTCTGAAGTCTCAGGGGTGGTAAAAGTCAGGGCCAGGGGCCAGGCCCACTTCTGTCTGCTCGTAAAGCCTCTGTTCATACCCACGGCATTATGTATTCCTCGTCTTCTCAGGGCAGGTGAGGCATAGCTAGAAGGAAAACAGAGGTCACATTTAGAGGGGCTGAATAATGAGAACAACTTATACCCAAACTTTAAACTGTTGACTCGAACACAGGCGCTGGTGGAAGCAAAGGGATCTGGTAAAGAGAGAAGAAAATCCCTATGTGGTAATAACACTGCGTAACTCATTTGTGTGGAGCATCCAGAGTTGTAATGGGTCACGTCGTCAGTGGAGGCCCAGCCATGTCGTGTGACATCATGCATGTAGCTATCACCGCCATGGCCTTGGTGGTTTGTCTCTGTCAGCCACAGGGCTGATTGAGTGGGAGAAGAGCCCATCTCCCACCAGTGATAGAATTTTTTTAGACTTGCCCTGTTCATTTGTTAAATGTTTATTTATTTTGAGAGAGAGAGAGCATGTGCATATGCACACAAACTGGGGTGGGGCAGAGAGGGACAGAGAGAGAGAAAATCCCAAGCAGGATCCGCATTGTCAGCACAAAGCTCAACTCAAGGCTCAAACTCATGAACTGCAAAATCATGACCTGAGTGGAAATTGAGAGTTGGATGCTTAACCAACTGAGCTACCCAGGTGCCTTATCCTTGTCCATTTTTCACAGAACTCCATGTTATTACTTTGTTGAGCCATGAATTGAGCTATAGCCATCTTTCTCTGCTCAGGGATTTAGCCCAAGCTGCCAAAGGGGTTCAGTTAGAAGGCAACTGGTGTGTGCCCACCCAGTGTGGCATCCACAAGCATCCTTCCTACCAACACCCCAGTTAAGGTTTCTCCTGTCAGAATGAGCTCCTCTTCTGAGGGCTCCACCCCAGAGTCATGGGGTGGCCCTAATCTCAGGGTCTAGGTCCTGCCATTGGGCATTACCTCAGATGCTCCCTGTGTTATCTCACTGAGTATGTTCTTTAGTTTAAGCCATTATGAAAATAGAACTCAAGCAGCCTATTTCTGCAGGCCTGAATTTCAGGTGTGACTCTTGGGCTTATACTTGCTAGCTGTGAGATTTGGGACAAGTCACTTAAAAACAGACATACAACACCTTTCTAAATCTTGGTTTCCTTATCTGTTGTATGTGGGTACCAGCAGCTAACTGAAAACCAACTTTATTTTTTTTTCTAGCATCCCACTTGTAGGACAAAAAAATAAATAACAAGAAGTCAAATTCAATTTTGGGGTTTCTTTTATAAGCCAATTTTTCAAACTCACCTGTGAAGATTTAGCCTGAACTCCTATGCTCCTGGAACTACATCTCTAATTATAACATCCTTGTAGTTGCAGGTTTTAAGTTAATGAAAATGGTTTCATGGAAGATTTTTGTAATCTTCACGTAATCCTGTGGAGTAAGTGGATTTGCTTTTTATTCCCACTTTACAGAGAAGGAAACTGAGAACTGAGGCTTAGTGTTTTGTTTTTTGGATTTTTTTTTTTTAATTTTTTTCAACATTTATTTATTTTTTGGGACAGAGAGAGACAGAGCATGAACGGGGGAGGGGCAGAGAGAGAGGGAGACACAGAATCGGAAACAGGCTCCAGAGCCCGACGCGGGGCTCGAACTCCCGGACCGTGAGATCGTGACCTGGCTGAAGTCGGACGCTTAACCGACTGCGCCACCCAGGCGCCCCTGGCTTTTTTTTTTTTTTTCCTTTTTTTTTTTAAACAACTTGCCTTGAACCTCACAGCTCCTCAAGTAGAGCTGATCCTCAAACCCACATCTTCTGGCTCTGATCCTCAGTGCTTGTCCCATGGCCCATGGCACTGAGGTCAGTGATGACCCAAATGATGATCTAAATGACTCTGAGACTGAATGTAATTCCAAATCTTCAAAGAGATTCTAGGGGCACCTGGGTGGCGCAGTCGGTTAAGCGTCCGACTTCAGCCAGGTCACGATCTCACGGTCCGTGAGTTCGAGCCCCGCGTCGGGCTCTGGGCTGATGGCTCAGAGCCTGGAGCCTGTTTCCGATTCTGTGTCTCCCTCTCTCTCTGCCCCTCCCCCGTTCATGCTCTGTCTCTCTCTGTCCCAGAAATAGATAAACGTTGAAAAAAAAAATTAAAAAAAAAATAAAAATAAAAAAATAAAAAAAAAGAGATTCTATTTGGTCATTCTATTGCACAAGCAAAGTGGGCTTGAAATCTGTATAAAGACTTTTTTTCAAAAATAGCAGATGAAAAATCACTGGTTATAGAACATTCCATGTCTTAAACATTCCTATATAAGTCTGTGCCCCAGCCATCAACATGGAGTGGGGGTCTGGGGGCAGGGTGGTGACCAGACATAGATTCACCATTTGGAGGAAAGCATAGAAGAGCTGTCACAGAAACTTAAAACAGCACATAGCAGGAAATGAGAAAAAAACATTATATATCGTAATCCTGTTTCTGTCTCTAAGGAACAAATGCGAAAACAGACGCCTATGGCTTTAAGAGAAACAGTCATCCTGGAGAGTGTTGCAGGTGTTAAGGAAAAGAATGTTTCTCGTGCCTTGGTTCAGGGGATTCCCAAAGGCACACTGTGTCTGCTTCCAACAGCCCGCAGCCTTCAAGGTGAGTGTTATCTGGTATGTGCTTGTTATTGGGTATGAATGACTTGGGGAGGAAAGCACCCACCCCTTCCAGGGATCTGGCTTCCCATGATGGCTCCATCACTTCATCTCTGTGGGGAGATGGTCACCCAAGGATTCAGGGTCATTGCAAAGAGCCTGCTTCCAACCTTCCTCTTCCTATTCCTCTTTGGCACCTCAATTTGTTCCTAATTATTTTTCTGTTTTCCCTGCTTCTGAAGAAAGGGCTGCACCAGGGAGCACTAGGTAACACACACTCAGGCTCTTCCTAAATCAGGCATCACCACTGTCAGCCCTCTTCTCCATTAAAGGCAAGAAATGAATCATGAGATGGGCAGGGCCTAACCACCACCCTGCCTTGGTCCAGCTAACTCTAATGGTATGAAGGGAGTCCAAATGTTGAGCGAGCTGTTCAGTTCCTCTTGAGGAGATTCAGTTCTGTTCATCTGGATTTCTTGATCTTGGCAAACTTACCTACTTCAAGACATCGGGCATGTTACCTGGAATGCTACATCAAGAACCAGGGGTTTTAGAGTTCATCTTACCTTGTCATTCTCAGTGTGGTCCAGATCTATGGGCTGCTTGTTCTTAGTCATGCTTATTAAGAACTGTGTTTTCTTAAAGATCAGCAATCAGACCTTAAGTGCCAAATCCCATTTCCTTGTGCGGTTTCCATCTTTTCTTAATTTCTCGTGGTAATGACCCTGTTGGGAGGGTCCCATCCTGATTGTCCTTCTTCCTCTCCATACAATGCTTTAATCTTCTTAGTGATCCACTTCTTTCTCTTTTCCTCTGTATATATTTTACTCTTGGTCCTCTAGTCTTCTCTCTGCACATTAGCCTTTGGTAAGTTCACCAACCACTGCTTTAAGTGTCGCCTCTATGTAAATAACTCTTGAATTTGTATCTCAAACTCCACAAACCTCTTCTTGTCAATATTCAAGTCTGTAGTGTGGCATTGGACATGTGAGTTGGGAAAAAAACATGAAGTAGATTCCACATTTACAGTTTGACAGATGAATTAGCCTATAGACATGCCTGAGGCCCATATCATTTAATTGTGGTGGAGATCTCACCAATTTGCCCTAACCTACTTTCCTTTCCTTTTCTTCATGTCATTGCACTTGGACTACTGTAAGCTGCTCCATCCTCCTGACCCATGAGCACAATTTTTCACATTGTCTCCTTCATGAAATGCACACTCCTTTTCCCCCCACCTCTATCAAAACCCTACCTCTAATTCAGCACACATGAACCATTGGTGTTTCTCCTTCATTGCCTTAAAAAAAAAGGAGAGGGAAACCTGAATGACCAAAGGGGTGGCTGGATGAGCAGGAGAGTGGGACTGTAACAGATCAGGCTCCTCCCGAAGAGGGGGAGGTTTCAATGGGACCTGCGCATAGGTTAAGGGAACAAAGATGATCAATGTTCCCCAACCTTAATTGTTTCTACTACCCACTGCTGCACTGCCAATATTTAGTAAAATCCAAAATGCCTTTAAGTGACCACATGTCAAAGAGTTAAATGCTATGTGGGAGAGGATTCAATGACAGTTCTTAAACTATTAAAAAAAAAAAAAACCTACTCAAAAGAAGTAAAAAATACTGGTTGATAATTTGAAAGACACAGAAAATATTTTGACCATATTAAGTTCATGGACAGTGACTTATTTTAGGCATTATTGAAAATTTTTAGTTTAAAGGGCAACTATTTATCAATGACATGTGTCATACACTGTCTTTTACCCTATATTCTATCTGCCTCCCACTTTCTACCTTGTCCATTCAGACAGTTGGAGTGTTCACATGGTTTCCCAATTCTCTTTTGTTCCAAGCAAATTTTGGAGAGGGAGAGAGAGAGAGAGAAGCAAGCAGGGGAGGGGCAGAAGGTGAGAGAGAATCCTGCCTGACGTGGGTCTCCATCTCACGACTGTGAGATCACGACTTGAGCTAAAGTCAAGAGTTGGAAGCTTAACTGACTGAACCACCCAGGCACCCCTGTGGCAGAAATATTTTTATATTTTTTCTTATTTTTTTTAAATATGAAATTTATTGTCAAATTGTTTTCCATACAACACCCAGTCATCTAATTTTATATTTTTTCCTGTTATTAAATTTTGTGGAAGGAAGAAAAATGGGAAATGGGGAAATTGAACTGGCAAATGGCTTTGCATGTATACTAATAAATATCCCACAAATGAATTTCTCCTTTTAATCTATTATTAGTCATTCGTGTTACTGGGTAAAGATGCTAGTGGCACGTTTTATTTTCAGACCTCCTAAAACTAAATCTTCTCCTAGTGTACTGAACTGCTTTGTTAGTTGTCCAGGGAAATCCGTATGTAGTGGGGATTTGAATACATGAATTTAACTTTTTACATAGTGGCTTAAAAAACTGTCTTGACATTAGTAAAATTACACAGTCCCCACACTCAAGCCTCCAAGATAGGATGTCTGATCTAAGAAGCTGTATTGGGGAAGGACAGGGAGAATAAGGCCACATTCCTGAGCTTGTTATTAAGGCACATCATTTGCATATTCTTCCCCCACCTCCCCAAAGCCTCTGGCCCCTGATTAGAGGTAGAGATACTGGGGTGGGGAGTTGGGACACCCAGGCTATGATTCTGTGCTCCATGATACCATGCTGCCCCTTGGCCTCCAGCCATCTACCTATCTGAGACCCTGTAAGAACCCATGCTTATTCTCATTACTAGTGAAACACCACAATTATATGGTATTAAGGCTCCATCAGTGACCACATTTTGCATGTGAAAAATAGCATGTTATAAAAATTTAATAAGGCATTAGCAAATGAGATCCTGAATCTCATTTTTTTTTCTTGCAAATGAGAGCATGTTCTGTATCTAAATCCTGAGTATAAGCCCCTCCCCACGCTCTAATTATGGATAATCAACCTTTCAAAAGCAGAGAGAGAGTCCAGTGTCTGACCCCTGTTTTAAATGAAATAATGTATGGAAGTACCTGGTCACTAGTAAACACTGACACCCAGAAAATGGCATCATTCATTCCCATCATTAACCCTGAGGGTTCTGTGAGTCCCTCTGAGGTCCTGAGGATGGATGTTGTGTGAGGTCTCATGCCACCAAAAACTGACCAACTTGTCTTTTGCACCTTGTACTTCTCCCTCACTGCACTTGTTGTATGTTTAAGACCAACTATCTCTGAAGCTTGGGAAATCCTGATATCTGCACCGATGGGAAATCACGGCTTGGCTCTATTCCTTTAACATCTGCCCATTTGCTAAACTCTAAGCTCCATTAAGGGCTGGGACCCTGTTGGCTTTGTTTCTTCATTGAGTCCCTAGGGCCTAGAGTAATCCTGGCACTTAGTAGGCACTCAGCATTAATACATGGTATGCTGGCTCCTGATCCAGCCATGTGTTCTCAATCCTCTGATTTCTGCTATAAATAAATACAAGCTGTTCTCATGGATTTGATGCTTCTTGACTCATTCTCCCACAGGTCATGTAAGGCGCTTCACTGTAGGACAGTGATTTGGCTAAGACTGAGTTTCCCTCCCACACAGTAACTCATGGGAGACACTGGATGGCCTTTTCTTTTGTGTGCTCAAAAAACACATCCTTTGCACATAGGGGACAAACTGCTTAGGTAGAGAACTTTCAGGAATGAGGAAGTTCTGTAAACAACCAGTTTATTTCAGAGTTCGGTAAACATCCCGCAAACACTAATAACTGTTAGTTAATATCTGCAAATGCATTATATGGTCTGGAATCAATTTCACCCCCTTTTTTGCTTGTTTTTAAGTAATGGAGAGTTTGTAGGATAATTTTAATTGACTTTTCTATTTTTCATCTGTACCTAAGCTCAGACAAAAGGGAGCCAACAGTTCCTTTATGAAACTTTCTGTTGCCAAATAGCATTGGGTCTTTTCGATTGTGTGGTGCACACCCATTGTTAATTATGCTGATTGTTATCCATAATAGAGTAACAAGTGATAAGGAAGGCTCTGGCTCTGAAGCTTGGGAAATCCCCTTTTCCAGGACAGACAGGAAACCACAGCCTAGGCTTTGATTGACCTTGAGCTTTTTTCTCACCTTCCTGGCCCCTCCCTCACCTTCCACTCTCCAACATTCAAACACATCCATCCTCCACTTGGCCATAAATGACAGGAGGAGAGCTTCAGTAAAAGTGGGAAGTGATTTTACCAAAAATCATTTGGAGATCATAGAATTTGGAGGTGGGAAATTATCTAGAGTTCTAATATTTCATCTAATTTCTTAATTTTACAGGTAAAGAAAGTGGATCCCAGAGTGGCTAAGAGATGAGGCAAAACCAGGATGAATTTGAATTCTCTAGGCAAAGCCTGCAAGAGGAGCCCACTGCTCCACTGAATTCTCCTGTACAAGTTGAAGCTCATGTGGAACAGAATCTACAGTGAGAGATACTGAATGGTCCTTTTGTATACTTTGATCTGAAAGCTTCCCAACCTCTAAGGCATATTTTCAGAGTAGAACTAAAGAGAGAGACAGAGATGGTAAGCACTTGACTTAGATGTTGGATGTAGTTTCCTAGTTATGCTGGACTTCCTCTTGATTCTATTCAACTAAATTAAGACCAAATTACCATTATGTGTGATTTTTATGAAAGGTTGAATGACTTAATTAGCTTGGCTTTTATGGTAACCTGAAAAGATTCCCCACTGACTCCTGTGTTTTGACAAAGCTCAAACACTGTTATAGATCAAAGGGAAGATAACATGAAATCTGGATATGTCAAAGGTGCTATACTGAAAGCCTCCTATAAATGGGTAATTGAGGAGCTGTTTCCAAGCTGGACTCCTGACCCCAGAGGCTGTAACATCAAGGACAGAGATAACCACAGTCTGGGGTGTCTGAGCCCTGGCTTCTAGAAGAAATGGATCCTTACCCACACACCCCTGAGTATGTGATCGTCCTGGCAATGGTTCAGATTATCAACCAACTGCCATGCCTCTTGTAAATGTGTCCTTCAGAAAGGAGCCCTCCTTGCATGCCGAAGTTTTTATTGCTTTCCAAGGTCTTAGGCTTCTTTCAAAATCAACATTCTCTTTATTTATTATTGACGTTAATATCAGCCACACCAAAGCCATCAATGCCAAAGTTGTTAACCTTGCTAATGTTAATTTAAGCCATATACTCTCATTAAACCGATATTGGTTACTAATAATGTTTCATCTAAATGTTGTGTGTGGTTGTATTTAAAGCAGAATACCTTGGTTGAAATACCAACTGTATTGAAATTATTTTAAATTATAGTTTGTACTTTAAATTATAGTTTGTAATTAGAAGAAAATAAGAACTTTTTCTTTTAAAAAAATCTCATACTCTTAAGGACCATTCTTATAACACTTCTAAGATAATCAAAAGAAATAACATGTTTATTTTTAGGTAACTAGATAGATGTCCATGTATAAAATTTCCAACAATCCAACCTTGTGAATTTTAAATTCTTGGGATTATTTTTTTCTTTGGCCCCTTTCATTAAAATTTACTAAGGTTTTATTATAATCATTATCAGGACTTTTCCAAGGGGAACTGAGACCCCATAAATATCTTACAATTATACTTAGATGCCACATGAATCGATCAGTTAAAAACCTGTAAAGAATCATTACCTTTTCTTAGAATTTTTCCAGCAGGAACAGCTGTGAAGAGGGCGTTTTAGCAAGTGCTAAAAGATAATACATGTTCCAATCTTTTCTGTATAAAAGGATCTGCTCTGAAATCTTGAGAAATGGTAAAAAAAAAAAAAAAAACTAAAAGGATATTTAGATCTGTTGTTATTTAAAGATGCTATCAGAAAATCATAAATGTCTCATTTCTGTAGCACTTAAGTTTTGTCCTCCAAAAGGATCAAACAGATCTGTTATAGAGTCATGCAGCAATTTATAAATCTTCGAACATGTGTGCTTAATGGAGAAAATAGTAGACCATTTATGGATGTACAGTGGCGCTATCTATTAAATCATGGATTTTACAAAGTAGGCAGAGGAAGCTTTCTGGTTTCAACCTGTGAAGGTCAAGGTCTGCAGTGTAATTCTGACGTAGAATCTGGTATACCAAGAGCCATTCTCACAGCTTGCTTCAATGTGGCCTCTGCTACCTCGTTCACAGGCTGTTTAGATAACTAGCCACACCCGACCTGAGGGGCATGGCTGCAGGTTTACTTGGAAGCTAATGGACATTCTGTCCTCTCTTGGGAGAAGGGAGAATGTTGGACTTGTTTAAAAATTGCTTGCCACTTTCGAAGGTCAAGGAGAGATTTTCCTCCTAAAGAGAATATATGTTAGTTATAGAATGTATCAAGACTACACATCTCAGTCCTCCAGTCCTTTTCAATTCCTATCCTTAAAAAAGACAAAATGGTGGGGCACCTGGGTGACTCAGTCGGTTAAGCGTTCCACTCTTGATCTTGGCTCAGATTGTGATCTCATGGTTGAGGAGATTAAGCCCCATATCAGGCTCTGCACTGACATTGTGAAGCCTACTTTGGATTCTCTCTCTCCCTTTCTCTCTGCCCCTCCCACATGCATGTGCTCATGCTCTCTCTCTCTCTCTCTCTCAAAATAAATATTAAACTTAAAAAAAAAGACAAATGGAATGGAGAAGAAAGGGGAAGGCTGACTCTAAAACTGTCAGGGAAGTGTAAAGAAACCTCAAAAATCACAGGATAGGGTTTTTTTTATTATTCATTTTTTTAAATTAGCAAGCATATGATGCTGTGTAAAGAGATCTTACATACAATTACTGGCTCTTCTTATCTCTAGTAAGAATTCAATTTTGCAATAGGAGAAACTAGGTTATTGAGAGAGACACATTCAAGGTCACATAGTATTGGATATATGGACATGATGCTGGGAGGACATTCCAGTGACAGTGACATTTCCAGCAATCTCTGAACAATGTGTAACTGGTTCCTTCAGGTCTTAGCAGCCTGATTCATAAAAGGGAGACACAATTACATAGAGTTGGCAGAAAAACTATAAGACATCCAATTAAATTTGAATTTAAAATAAAAAACAAATAATTTTGTTGTTGTTTGTTAGAAACACACAGAGGGAAAGAGAGAGCGAACAGGGGAGGGGCAGATGGAGAGAGAGAGAGAGACAATCTTCAGTAGACTCTGTGCTGATATGGGGTTCTATCCCACGACTGTAGGATAACAACCTGAGCCAAAATCAAGAGTTCGACACTCAACTGACTGAGCCACCCAGGTGGCCCAACAAATAATTTTTAATATAAGTGTGTTCCATGCAATATTTGGGACATACTGATACTAAAAAGTTATTCATTATTTACCTGAAATTCAAATTTAACTAGATGTCCTGAATTTTTATTTTCTAAATATAGCAACACTATATTAGTAGTAAATAATTTTATTTCCTTGGTTCTGTTTTTACAAGTTATTAAAGAATCTCTAATTTCTCTTAAAAACATGGTAAAAACATCCCATAGAGAAAGAATAGTCTTTTCAACAAATGGTACTGAAATAAATAGATATCTACTTGCAAAAGAATGAAGTTAAATTTCTGCCTCACATCAGGTACAAAAATTAATTCAAAATGGAACATAATTACATGTGGGAGCTGAAACTATGAAACTCTTAGAAGAATACATAGGAGCAAATTTTTATGACCATGGGTTGTGATACTAAACATACACATGAAAAAAGAAAAAAAACCAGATAAATTGGACTTCATCAAAATAAAAGAAAAATGTGCTTCAAAAGATAGCATAAAGAAGGCGAAAAACTATCCATAGACTGAGAGGAAATACTGCACATCATGTGTCTGATAAGAAAATTTATCCAGAAGAAATAAGCAACAACGCCTCCAGAAAGACAACCCAAATTTAAAGATGGGCAAAGGAGGGGCACCTGGGTGGCTCAGTCGGTTGGGTGTCCAACTTTAGCTGAGGTCATGATCTTGCAGTCTGTGAGTTCGAGCCCCGCGTCAGGCTCTGTGCTGACAGCTCAGAGCCTGGAGCCTGCTTCCGATTCTGTGTTCCCCTCTCTCTCTGCCCCTCCCCCACTCATGCTCTGTCTCTCTGTCTCTCAAAATGAATAGACATTAAAAAAAATTAAAGATGGGCAAAGGATTTGAATAGACGTTTCTCCAAAGAATATATACAAATGGCTATGAGCACATGAAGATGTTCAACATCATTAGCATTAGGGAAGTGCAAGCCCAAACTACAATTGGATACCACTTCACACCCACTAGGATGCCTAAAATAAATGGCAAAAATGATAACAAATGTTCATGAGGATGTGGAAAAATTGGAGCCCTTGGTCTTTGCTAGTGGCAATATTAAATAGTGTAGCCACTTTGGGAATATTAGTTACCATATAACCCAGCAATTCCACTCCTAGATATATATCCAGAGAGTTAAAAACATCTTTACAGAGAAACTTGCACATGAATATTCAGGAAAGAATTGATTATAATAGCCAAAAAGTTGTAACATCTGAAATGTTGATCAATTGACAAATAGATAAACAAAATGCGGTATATCCATACAATGGAATATTATTTGGCAATAACAGGGAATGAAATATTGATGCATGCTATAACATGGCTTAAAAATATCTATTATGTGAAAGGAGCATGTGACAGAGACAATACATTGTGATTCTATTTATATGAAAGATGTAATGTGTATTAGTAGCTTCCAGGGGAAGGGATAGTAAGAAGTGAGAAATGACTACAAATGATATGGGTTTCTTTTTTGAGGGAATGAAAAATGTTCTCACTACTCCATATATAATTATGAGGTACTTACTCTGAGCCACTCATTGTACTCTGGTGATGTAAGATGGATAAGACCCCAACTCTGAGTTCTAGGAGCTTACAACCTAGTTGAGAACAATACCTCCATTGATAAGTGCTGCAAAGCATTATGTGGCTTCTGCATACACACGAACGGGATGCAGTGAGTTGCTTTGCACAGAAAATTGGGTCTACATCCTCACCTAACATGGAATCTGAGGCAAGGTAGGCATTTGATAAATTGTTGATGAAAGAGAAAGAGAGGAAGAGAGGATGGTTAAAGGTGTGACTGTTTCAGTGACTCCTTCAGCTAAGTGTCTTAGTGAAACCTCTGATTTGTAATCAGCCTATCATTGACTCATTTTCGGGGAGTGTGCTAGGGATTGTGTGAAGTGCTAAGGACATTGCCACTACTGTTCCTGTGGAATTGGCTGCCTGGCCTGGAAGACAGTTAATAAACAAGCAATTAAAATAATGGAGGACGTAGGGTAATCTAAGAGTATAATAGGAGTGAGTCACTTAGTCTAGGGGTCAGTGGAGGCTTCCATGGGGAGTGACAGTTAAAGCATGACTTGAAGGGTAAGTAAAAGTTGGTTAGGCAAAAGGGGAAAGTGAAAAATGGTTCCGGGCAGAGGCAGCCGTATCATTCATCTATATGCAAATAAATGCTTTCCTAATGTTTGAAGTGGCTTAAAGACAGTTTATTTGCTTAGATATTTTCACATCCCTCCACCCAGCAGTGTGGTTTATATGGCTCTTGATTTTCTAAACCTTTTCTTTTATGAATAGTACAAAAGTAAACTTCACCCTAGATCCCATCCATATTCAAATTTAATGAGACGCTAATCCAAAGGATTTAATTGTGTTGCTTTAAAATCATCCTGTTTGATAAGCAATGTTGTGTCCTTTCTACAGCTGAGGAAACTGAGCCATAAAGCATGCTGTGCAGGTGATACATTGAAGAACCACTCAGCCCACATCACACATGTTCCTTAGCCTGCCTGCCTCCATTGGAGGGCTATCCCAATAAATCCAGATTGCCTGCTGAGATGATCATCAAAAAGGTACATGGTGTATAGAATTTATAGAATTTGTATATATAAATTCTATCTTTCTGGTCCTTTAGAGATCACCTGTGAACTAATAGACCAGTGCCTGGAGTTTATTTAAAGTGCACATTACTACTTAAAATAGTGACTTTGTTCATCTGGAATTGAGGGGGAATGAGGTGTGCCATAGAAGTATATTTCCATAAAATTGAACTTTACCTTTTTTAGGCCCAACACTTTTTACAAATGCAAGTGTTCGTGAATGTAAGTCATTCTAAAATAAATTGCATGCTCTGCATTCTTACCAGCATTTAACCTGATTACTCCTATGAATTTACCAGCATTTAACCTGATTACTCCAATGCTATGAGTATGGACTGTTTTCTATCATTTGTTGGTTATTATTATTTTTTTTGAAGTTCTCAGATTGTAATTTAATTCTTTTTTGTTGTTGTTGGTCATTATTAATTATGTATTTGGCTCTATGCCAGGAATTGGGACTATATCAAGCAAAATACCTAACTGTTAGAAAATATATGCTTATAAGGAAAAAATATGCTTAAATACTAAGTTTAATATGTTCAGTAAATATGCTGTGTTGTGGGAATTCAGGGCAGGGGCTGTTCCATGCAAGTCCAAGAAGGAGTCATGGATAAGGTAAGGATTTTGATGGTAGAGGGAGAAAGGTGATGTTGGTAGCAGGTGGTGATGGGTGACAGGGTGCTGTTTTTTGGGTTGAGAGAAGAAGGGGAAGCTTCCCAAGTCCCATAAGCAAAGCATAAGAATGGTCAGGCAATGGGCAGTGCTGTGGGAAGTGGCAGAGGTGACACTGGAAGGGCACCCTGGAGCCAGCCAGGAAGGACCATGGGTGCCAGGCCAGCGAGGGGTATCTGAGGTTTCTAACAGTGAATGACATGATCTGCATTGGTTTTGATAAAGATTACTCAGGTACAGCCTGAAAAATGATGCATGGAATGATGGTGGGCAGAGACTGGAAACAGAGACACCAGTTGGATATCTGTTAAAACAACACAGAGGGATAGGTGGAGGGTTGAATTGGTCCAGGAAGGAGAAGAGGAAGAGCTCAGTTTGAAGTGATGTCTAAAATGAGGTAGTAAAATATGGTCAAGGGCACAGGCCTATGAGGCAGATCCAAGCTGGGACCAAGGCCTTGCTTCTTCCTAGATGAAGGACCTGGGGCAAACCACTCCACTTCTCCGTGCTTCCATTTCCTTGTCTGTAAAATGTGTTCTTATACTACACAGGATAACTGTGTAAGTAGTTGAGATAATAAATTAAGTTTCTAGCACTAACCAGGCAGTTTGCAATTTGGAGTTCTTTTCCTTCTCCTAATAGACCTCAGGCACAAGAGCATCAATTTTAGCAGATTGAGTGGTTTTGGAGAGCCCTCTCTTCCTGTTAGCTGGGCCTTTTCTGATGTCTTTGCTCATTCTTTTGTTCAACAAATATGTATTGAGTACACTCTGTGTGCTAGGCAATGTCACTAGGCCTGTCCCTGCCGGCTCTAGGATCCCCTGAGGATTGACTACTCTTGGCTGTGGGCTCAGAAATCAGAGCATGTTAGCGTCCATCAAAGTGTTGTTAGGGCATATAAGTGTGTTAGTGTACGTACAGTAAGCAAGGCCCTCAAAGCCTGCCCTATCATGTAGAGTGCTCAGCTTTGGGGCATCCTTTCTGCTGCTCATACTGCTTTCCCCCAGACTGCTGAGTTCTCACTGGAGGATGCCACAGCCATGTGAAACCTTGCTCTCTGTACAGATGGTGGGGCCATGCTGAAAGCCTGCCGAGTATGGGAGAGAACACTTGCTTATGCTACAGCATTACCTTAAGAAGAATGTATTGCAGGCAGAGGGCGTTGGGAACTGTCCAAGGAGCTGTACAATCCTCTCCTGGAGATGACTGGGACAAGAGATGTTCTCCCAGGCTAGCTTATGCACTGCAGCCACACATCACATGAGAGGGGGATGGCTCACCCAATCCCCCACCCTAGCCCCCATGCTGTCCATGCTATCTTCTGCCTTGGGGGGAAGACTGTAGCACACATCTCCACAATGCATGACATCATCTCCCAAAGGCAAGGGCCACTCATGAGTTTTTGCTGGTTACGACCTCAGGACAGGACTTGGTGTTCTTGATAGAGAACATCTGTCCTAGGAGGCACAGTTGGGAAAGAATGAAGGCTTTTCTGGGAGCCCGGCTGGCTCACTGAGCAAAGGCTAGGAGGCGTTTGGTGAAGTAGCAGGAAGGCTGTGATATGTAAACATGATGTGAGTGTGCTCCTCAGGAGTGACTGGAAGTCTATAGAAATGAAAGCCTTCTTCCTCCTCAGCCACAGTCAGGGAAAAGGAGCCTTGAAATATATGTATGTTTATTTGTTTGACTCAGTGGATAAACAGATCTCTATATTATACTGGGAGTATGAATGAGTATCCATGGATGTCATCTTCCCCTTCATAGTTGCTATTTGTACAAAATTCACTCTTTGTATAGATGATTTCCTCCCATCAAGTACCCCAATGCCCTGGAATCTGTTTATTTATGGAATGTTTTTCCAAAGATTCTGAAAGCATCACAAAAAACAAAAGGGGCTCATCTGTGTTTCTGTGGAGATGGAGGAGTTATGTAACAGACTCTTATTTTCTACAAGCAAAACAAGGACACATGATATACAACTGTGTCCAGCTAACCTGACTGATAAGATTGACAGAAGCTTGTGAGGAACAAGTCAGAGGATAAGAGCTAGAACCTACAGGAAAAGGTTAGTAAAGAACTTAAATGTCTGTTTGTCAGAAAGTCTATCCTGGCTTCACTAGCTTTGGAAGATCCATGGCTGTTGGGGCTCACCAGCTGGAAGAGAGAACGGAGGAATGATATGAGGAAGGCATTTGGAGAAGGTTCTTCCCACCTCCCTTAGACCTCCTGAGATAGATAGGAATGATCCGAAGGTGCAGTGGATTTTCTTTCTTGGGCTCCCCAGCTACAAGGCTGGCATGGCTACTTGGGATATTAAAATATACATATATATATATATATATATATATATATATATATATATATATACACACTCCCTCTGTATGCACAAGAGTGTGTGTGAGGGATGTGGTCACTTTGGTTGTCTCAGGATTGCTAGATCACACTTAGTCATCTTTCAAGAATTGACACAAGTGAAACTTCCTCCCTGAGGCCTTTTCTATTCTCCCTGGCACCCACACCAGGTGGAATCTATCCCTTTGTTTCCCTACATTACTCCAAATATTCACTCTACTTTTATCCCACCTAGAACTCTGACTCCCCAAGTAATTCTGGTCAGGGATTGTCTGAGTTCTTCATGTAATCAAGCATCTAACACAGTCCCTGATACACAAGAAAGGATGCAAATTGAATAAATTAATTTATGTATATGCAACTTCCTATCTCTATTTATTCACTTATATGCAAATAGAAGAATATATCCTATGTCAAACATAAAGATACATAAACTGTATGTGAGATATGCTTGTGCTATGAAAACAGTCAAAGACATATCTGTTACCTAAGGACTTGAAAAGTATATTCTGCTGTTGGGTGGTATTCTATAAATGTCAGTCAGATCCTGTTGGTTAATGTCTTATTGAGTTCTTATATATCTTTGCTAATTTCTGACTAGTTGTTCTCTCAGTTGTTGAGAGAGAAACAGGTGTTGAAGTCCCAAACTATCATTGTAGCTTTGTCTGTTTCTCCTTTCTGTTTTATTGGTTTTTGCTCACATATTTTGCAGCTCCGTTTTTTGGTGCATACACATTCAGGATTATTATGTCTTCTTGGTAGATTGACCCTTTTATCATTACATAATGCCCCTCTCTATCTCTTGTAGTTTTCTTTGTGCTGAAGTCTACTGTATCCAGTAATAATATAGCCACTTCTGTTTTTCTTTGGTTAGTGTTTCTATGACCTACCTTATTCCATTCCTTTACTTTCAACCAGACTATATCATTATATTTGAAGTGAGTTGCTTGTAGACAGAATACAGTTGGGTCACAATTTTTAATTTGTTATACAACAATAGATACCTAATGTTTCCACCTTCCAAACCCACAGAACCCTATGATTCTACAGTAAGTGACCTTAAAGCATATACTTAGTGAGTGAACCTTATTATAGCACATCTGCCAAATCTCTCTGGATTCCTCTCCTAACAAAAGATACGCTTCCCTAGGCCTCCCTAAGATCCACACTGAAAATCTTAGTTATTGGAATGTGAGTGGTTGGCCCAAGATTGCACATACCCAGAACTCGAGGATGTTGTCAATGTTAGGCTTTGGGGAGGGTTATGGTGAGGCATGGAAAGCTGGATGCAGGCTCTGTATATCTCATCATTCTTCTTGCTTTATATGCAAGTGTGGAGCCTTACTGCCTTTATGGGTACCCTCATGTGAATGCTCCTTGGCTGATAAAAAGTGTTCTATGTGGACCCGCCTTCACTTTCTTTCACTACCCTCTTGTCTGTCTTTCCCCAGGCAGTCTCTGCCTCTTTTTTCACTACCAAAGTTTTTGTTTGCCTTTTATTTCTGAGCTATGGGCCTTCCAATAACCTTCTCTTGTCTTGAAAATCTTTCAGCTTTCAGCATGGGATATGACTCACAGCTATTTTTCTTCTACCCCATTTTGCAGGGTAAAGACTTACCAGACCTGAGGTCAGAAGAAAGTACATGAGTTATTTTCACTTCAGGTAGAAGGATGCTGTCATTTTTCTGATTTTTCTTTCAAATTTCCACTAAAAATGTCAGATGTCCTGCATGAATCATTTTTGGAACTTACTATATATTTTTAAAGTGTGTCTATCTTCTTCCTGAATTTTCACTCCATCATCTAGCATTTTTTTTTTTTTTTACAGATATAGCCTTGGAAGAGGCCAGGCCCATCCTAACCTTGACTCTTCTCAATTCCTGTTTTGTTTCCTTTGCTGCAGAAGGTAGAGACAACAGCAATTCTGCTTTATTTCACTTCACGCTCTG